GGGAGGGGCCGAGACAGGCGGCGGCCAGCGTAACCCTAGGCTGGAGTGAGACTAGGATCCTTAAGAGGGTAGGAGCCCGGCTTGGCGTCCTCTCCGTAATCTGTCCCCTCCAGGCCTCCGTACTCGGTGAGCCTGCAGTCTGGCTCCCGGCCGCTGCGGGCTTTTTCTGGGCCCCAAGTCCCGCGGTCGTAGCCCACAGTCCCAAACCCCGCCTGTCGCGGCCGCACCTGGTCCGAGTCTTCGTTTTCGCTGCTATAGCAGCACCCCATGGCGGGGTCGGGCCGGGCGCTCAGGCGGCGCCGAGGAGGGACGGCGTCCGTCAGGAGTCTTTCCGGTCACATGACCCGCGGCTGCCTCCCGCTCCCTTCCCCCGCCTAGGCTGTCCCAAAGCCTCTCCGGCACCACAGCCAAATCTCGGCTTCCGGTCCCGCCCCTCCGCGTGACCATCGCCAACCAATGGAAAAGCGCAACCTACGTGACAGGACGCGTGGCACGTGATCCGGGAGGCCAGTCACATGATTTTGTTGTCCCAGTCTGTAGATCTGAATCCTTTGATCCTCTAGCCAGGCTGTGATCACATGGTGTCAAGGCCACCTTTGTGAGCTCAATTCATCAAGATAAATTCTTAAGTGACACGCGAGGGGCGAGTAGCATCATGGAGTTGAGTGGGATATGCTTCACTCGGGAGCTAGTTGCCAGTTTCTTTGCCTCCGTGTGTGTGTGTGTGTGTGTGTGCGTGTGTGTGTGTGTGTGTGTGTGTGTGTGTGTGTGTGTGTCTCACTATGTTACCCCGGCTGTCTGTCGTGTGTGTGTGTGTGTGTGTGTGTGTGTGTGTGTGTGTGTGTGTGTCTCACTATGTTACCCCGGCTGGCCTGAACTTCGTGTAGTGTGGCCTCGAATTTAGAGAGCCACTTGCCTCTGCCTTCCAAATGCTAGGATTAAAGGCGTATTTTACTATGCCTGGCAAAACTGTATTTTTACTTATTTTGAGTATGAATATGAACACGTGTCTTGGTGCACATGTGGAGGTCACAAGTTGTGGAAATTGGTTGTCTCCTTCCACTATGTGGTTCCTAGGGATAGAAGTCAAATTGTCAGGTGGCTTGTAGCCACTGAGCCATTTCCCTAAGTTCCTTATTTGTCAGTTGTATTTGTTTTTTGTTTTGTTTTTTCGGTTTTTTGAGATAGGGTTTCTCTGTGTAGCTTTGGAGCCTATCCTGGCACTCTGTACACCAGACCAGGCTGGCCTCGAACTCCCCGAGATCCGCCTGCCTCTGCCTCCAGAATGCTGGGATTAAAGGCGTGGGCCACCAACGACTGCCTATTTGTCAGTTTCTTGATTAAGGTGAATTCTACCTTCAGAGGTAGATGGCACACAATCGTCCTTCCAAATCAGGGATTACAGTCTTCAAAGCCCAAATACAAACTTCATCTTCCTGTTTGTCTTTCCTGGCCCTATTCTGAGCCCCACCACCTCTTTACTAAATCCAGTGGCATTCACGTATTAAATTAGCTAGTGTTGAGTCTAGAGATGACTCAGTTACTTGAAGCATTAGCTGCTGCTCCTTCAGAGGACCCCAGTTCAATTCCCAACACCCACATGGTGGCTTAAATTATCTATAACTCCAGTTCCAGGATAAATGATGTAGACACACATGCAAACAAAACATGCATACACATAAATTAAAAATAAACCCCAAGTGCTGGAGAGATGGCGCCTAGGTTAAGAGAACTGACTGCTCTTCCAGAGGTACTGAGTTCAATTCCCAGCAACTATATAGTGGCTCACAACCACCTATAATGAGATCTGGTGCCCTCTTCTGACGTGCAGAACACTATACAAATATATACAAACAAAACACACACACACACACACACACACACACACACACACACACACACACACACACGAATATCTACAGTATGCCACTCCAGTGTTCAATTTGGATAGGTAGCTGATCAGAAAACAGCCTCATAGCAATGGACTCCCTTGTCTGGAGATCACAGTGTATTCTATTGTGTTTCTGACTTCATCTCTTCTACCAAATGTGACCCACTGGAAAACAGACAAAGTATAACTCCTCTGTGACCTATGCCCTAACATTTACTTACAGAAAATTTGGATTTTGAACTGAATAAATAAATCTCACTTATTTTGAATTATATCATGCCCCATGTTCTGATCTCAAGGGGTTGGAGAAGTCACCAGATCTACAACATTTATTAATTCTTCAAATCAAGACCCTAGAGTTCTGCTAAGTTTCTCTAGGGTTCCTGAAAAACAGACAGCTGAAGTTTGTCCCTGGGTCTAGTAACATGAACTTCAGGTCTCAGGTAACAACAGCCTCAGCATCAATAATTAAAATCAGGTCCGCCTCCTTCTTCAGGGTTATTCCTCTCAAGGACTTCCCATTCCAGTACTCTGGTCTTTCCTAGGAGCCTTCAGCTCAGGTAAGCAGGGCCTTGTGGGTTCCCAAGCACACAAATTCATGCCCACATCACAAACCTCTTCATATTCATTCATCCATATACTCTAAATTTTAGTATACATTCCCTTTCCAACCAAGGATCTTGTGAAAGGTCTGCCAAGGTCAGATCTGGGTAGGGGGACAGTGGGAGAACAAAGGACAGCTATCCTCTATAGGTGTTCCTGGAGAAGAAAACTGGTATGAAAGTGGAGAGAGAGAAAAAGAGAAAGAGGGAGAATGTGTGTGTGTATCTATGTTTCACTTATAAATTGAATTCTTAGTGGAGGAGAATACAAAAGAAGAGACAGGAGTGGGGAAAATACATAGACCCAAGGAGGACAAACACCTAGAGAGCAGACACGAGCCCTTGGATAGAACAGAGACACTCCAGCCTAACATGGTATAGAGGGTGAATTTTTGAGACACGTTCTCAACTGTAGCCTAGGTTGGTTTCATACTTGGTGTTCTTCATGATGGGATTACAAGTGTTCACCAAGATACCATGGATTGTATTTTTTATTTTTTAAAGATTTTATTTCTATTTTATATGTTTGTGTGCTTTGCCTGAAAACCATGTGCATGCAGTGCCTGTGGAGACCAGAAGAGGCATCAGAGCCCTTGGGACTTGGTCGTGAGCCACCATATGTGGGTGCTGAGAATCAAACTCAGGGCTTTTGAAGAACAGTCAGTACTCTTAATCACAGAGCCACCTCTCCAATGTATTTGTTTGTTTGTTTTTGGTATTTGCTCTTAAGATTTTATGTTTTGCTCATATTCATGTTCACCACTGTATGAGCCCTTGGAGGTCAGAAGAGGAGGTTGGATATCCTGTAACTCGGGTTATAGATGTTTGTGAACCACTGTGTGAGTACTGGGACTGAACCAAGGTCCTCTTCAAGAGCAACTTTTAACTGCTGAGCCATCTCTCCAGGTCCAGGCATAGTGTTTTGATACCTTTTACTGAAGAACATAGTGGGAGTCTGAAGGGGTTTAATGACAAAGCTTCTCTCTTTTCTGTTTTTTGGTTTTTCATTTTGTTTTTTGAGACAGGGTTTCTGTGTAGCCTTGACTGTCCTAGAACTAGCTCTGTAGACCAGACTGGTCTCTAACTCACAGAGATCCACCTGCCTCTGCCTCCTATACTGGGATTAAAGGTGTAAACCACCAATACCTGGAAAGCTTTTCTCTTTGGCTACTCTGTAATGGATCAGAGTCTGGTGGGAGGAAGATATCACAAGAAACTGATGAAAAAGGCCCTGAAGAGAGATATTAAGGAAGTGAAAAAGTAGGTGGGTTAAGGGAACAATATAGAAATGGACCCACAGTCAGGACTAGAAAGAGATATGGTTGTGGTCTGGTGCTAAACATGGGCAGCATGGAGTTGGAAAGTGCACATTCAGGGTTCATAACCCAATTCTGCTGTGTCTAGCAAGTCAGCCCCTCAGCCATGGTTGGATAAGAGTGGTAATTGCAACTGCTAAAGGCTGCACAATTACAGGCAAGTGGTACATGTAGGTTTTCCTCCCAGCTTCCCTCTATCCTAGGACCCAGGTAGGGACAATGTCCCCTGCCATTGCACTGGCATTCCTGCCACTCGTGGTGACCCTGCTGGTGAGATACCGGCACCATTTCCGATTGCTGGTGCGTACGGTCCTGCTGAGAAGCTTCAGGGACTGCCTGTCCGGACTTCGAATTGAGGAGCGAGCCTTCAGCTATGTGCTCACCCATGCCCTGCCTGGAGATCCTGGTCACATCCTCACAACTTTAGATCACTGGAGCAGCTGCTGCGAGTACTTGAACCACATGGGCCCTGTTAAAGGTCAGTGTCCCCTTCACTAGCCTGTTTGAAAAATAATCCCAAGATGGTAAAGAAAGTCTGGCATTACCCACTGCTTTACTGAGTAAATAGGAAGTTTAATGACTGTGTTTAAGACTTTATCTTTTCATTTGGAAATGAGGAGCCTAGACCAAGTTATTCAATTATCCAGTAGACATTTATTGCCACTCTTTCGTACCAGGTGCTGAGGGAGGAGGTAGAGGTCACAGAGGGTGAACCAGCCACAAATGCTGGCTTCAAAGAGCATAACATGGGAATAGTCATAACTCAGAGCTTTGTAATTATCTGTTCTAGATTTTCTTCCTTATCAAAGAAACTTCCACATCCAATTCAGGATAGCTGTCTGCCTAGATAGCACAGTGCTTCTAAGTATTAAGAGATTTATCCAATTTCAAAATCAAAAAGACAATGAGCAATGAGGGAGTGTAGGGGTTTGAGTATGAAACTGAAAATGTCTCAGGAACCTAGAGATAGGGTAGTTGTTTTTGCCTGGGCTCGCCTGGAGGAAGGAACATTTAAACTGAGTCTAGAATGCTTGGATTCAAGTAGCCCAGGTGGATGGAGACAGGTGTGGGTAAGGACAGTCAGCCTGTGAGTCTCATATAAAAATACAACATGAAGAAATCACAGCAGCATGCTTGATTCTGGGCACACATGTTTTGGATGTCTTCTACAACAGCTATCTTGCCCCATAGGTCAGATTCTGATGCGGCTGGTGGAAGAGAAGGGTCCTGCTTGTGTGCTGGAGCTGGGCACCTACTGTGGATACTCTACACTGCTTATTGCACAAGCTTTGCCCCCTGGGAGTCGCCTTCTCACTGTGGAGCGAGACCCTCGTACTGCAGCAGTGGCTGAAAAACTCATCCGGTTGGCTGGCTTCGATGAGCAAATGGTCAGCTTCCCATCTGCCCAAAGCTGATCTCTCCTCAATTACCCTATTGCTCTGGCCAGGTCTCTTTTGTGAAGGACTCCCATTCAATGAAGCAGCTCCATTCAGGCAGCTAGCATCCTGGAGGACATGTAGCTTCTACCTCCTCAATCCTGAGTCATTTACTCGTATTTCCTACTGGACTACAAAAGCAGCAGCTAAGAGGAAGCTCTCCATAGCCCAGCAAATCTGAGTCCAAATCTTACTGCTCAGTTGTGTGAGCTCAGGTAAAGCACATGTCCTTTGATTCTCAGCTTCTTCAAGCACACACATAATGGAAATTACAATCCTAACTACTGGATTCAGAGGCTAGAGGAACTGTGAGACACTTGTGAGGGCCTAGACCAGTGCCAGATCCTGGTGGGGTCTGGATGGGAAAATAGTCCTTCTTATCCTCACCTTCAGCTATGGCTTTCCCCACAGGTGGAGCTCATTGTGGGCAGCTCAGAGGAAGTGATCCCTCGTCTAAGAGCTCAGCACCAGCTGAATCGGGCAGATCTGGTGCTCCTGGCACAGCGACCTCGATATTACTTAAGGGATCTGCAGCTACTGGAGGCCCATGCTCTGCTCCCAAAAGGTGCCACTGTATTGGCTGACCATGTGCTTTTTCCTGGTGCACCCCGCTTCCTACAATACACCAAGAGCTGTGGTCGCTATCGATGCCGCCTCCACCACACCAGCCTCCCAGAATTCCCTGCCATCAAGGATGGCATAGCCCAACTCACCTATGCTGGACCTGGCTGAGATCCAGGACCTGGGATATTTACTGATACAATCCCAATGCCACTCAAGCAAGGACCTCAGAATATCCTCTTCCCCTTTCTATTTAGTGTCCAACAAAAGCTAGGTTCAGCCTGGGAAGGCTTTCTTCTCAACTTTGCCTGCCCCCAACCTCCATACAAATTCAAAGTGTCAAATTCTATCAGCCTTCTTAGTCCCACAAAATCCCCTCCTAGAAAGCCAGGGACTGGAAGCAAGAGGCCTGAGCCATCAGCTTAGTCCTTTTATTGATTGCTCCCTCCAGGTGAGTCCTTCCCTCTTTTTTGTTTTTCCTTCCCTCCTCTGAGATTCATTCTACCCTCTTAACACTAAGGGGCTGGAAAGATGGCTCAGCAGTTCAGAGCACTGACTGGCTGCTACTCCCTATCTACAGGACTTGGGTTCAATTCCCAGCACTCACATGGCACAGGCACACATGTGATATACATACATACAGACAGACAACAACCTCTAACCATAAAATAAATAGAATAACAACAACAAAAAAAGACAACTGACTGGCAGAGCCCCAGAGGCTCCCAGCTGTGAAGCTGTGAGACTCAGATTCTGGATGGGATAGAGGCAGCTGCACACAATGAGGCCTATAGTGCATTTGGTGCAAGCTAGGCCACAGGAATTATCAATTACAGAAGCCTGGGCTCCAATCCTGGCCCACATGGTCTGTTAGGTTTGCTTGAGATCCCTTAAATGACCCCTTCCCAGTGTCCAAGGAAAGATGTTGGACTCCTCTGGGTCCCACCAACAAACAGGGAATAGACATTGGGGGAAAGAATCAGTCCTGTGTCTTTATTAAAGAGGATAAGAAAGGGACCACACCTGGCAACCAAGGAATGAGGTACCAGCCAGGAAGGTGGGATGGGCTCAGGCTCTAGGGATTCAAGGGAAGACTGATGGCCTGGGAGGGCCCAAGAAGTCCTTATCCTGGCAGCAGCTGAGAAAGTGCCTGAGGGAAAGCTTTAGACACTACAGCCACAAGCTGGTTCTGCAGGCTGAGGGGCTGAGGCTGTGGATGCAAGATAAGTTGGGGTGGCCTGGAATCACCCTGAGGCCACCTTGGCTTGTCTACCTAGATCATCCACTGGTCCTGATCCTGTTCGTTGCCTTCCATGTCCACCTGAAGAGGAGGCTGGGTGTGGGTGGGGAGGGGCCTCAGCCAGCCTCAGCCCAGATCCTGCCCCTGGGTACAGCCAAGGTTCTGCATCCCTTGGCCATCTGTTAGATCAGGGGCAGGAGCCTAGGAACAAAGGCACTCCCCTACACCCCGCCTACCTCATTGACCTCTCCATCATCAGGTGACTCATTATAGTCATTCATCTCATCCATGTCCTGCATGTCCTCATCATCTTCTGAATCCTCTTCACTGTCCTCATCATCTTCATCATCTTCTTCTTCCTCATCATCGTAGTGCTGGTGAGGCAAGAGAAAATCTATAGGTCTTGGGGCTACCTGGACAAGGTCAAGAGCTGGTCTACTTGGAACCTCCTCCTTCCCAACTCTACCCACCTTGAGTCTGGCAGGCTGCTGCATGACCTGAAGGACCTCAGTTCTAGGCCCAGTGCCTGCCCCTTGAGTTCCCACTTTTGCAGTCTACCCAGACTAAGAACCACAATTGTTCTGGGTCTGAAGCAATGACACCCTGGTCGATTGGGCTTCACACAGGCCCCATCCTCTGGAGCCACTCACCTCTGAGGCTGGCTTGCCAATAGGTACCAGGTTGTTGTCTTTCTCTGCGATGCTTTGGAGCTGTGGGCAAAGGAGTATGGGGAAAAGCAGGGCCAAGGCCCAAAGCAGAGCAGGTCAAGGGCATGGGACAGGCTTACTCTACCCCTTAAAAGATCCCCAAATGTTGAAACAATGCTTCTCTCCACCTCCCCTGCCATCCCCAGTTATCAGGAAGATTTCATCCCCCTTTCTCCTGTCATCTGCTCCTTATTAAACTGATGGACTTATGTAAAAACTTTTGGTCTCAGGTTTTTCATATGGTGATGAGGGTGAAATGAAACACTCAGCCAAGAATATGGCATCTTGTAGGTCCTCGTTAAGAAGTTAAGTTAAAATGATTAAGTCCTGTGACTTATAGAAAAGAACTTAGGCTATCAGGAGCTTGACATCTAATCTTCCCTGAAGTCCTGTGGTCCCTTAGACAGTTAGGACACCACAAAGTGAGAACTTTAGCTTCCAATTACCCAGCCTGACTATTCACAACACAGAGAAAAATACTTCTCCTAAGCAGGTCTCCAGTATAAGGCAAGGTCAGGACCCAAAGGTCATCTCCATGCTGAGCTGGGTCCTCACTCACCCAGGCCTGATGCTGCTGCTCCTGCTGCTGCAGCTCTGTCTCCTCCACACAGGGTCGATCCAGATTAAACCACAGTGTCTCAGTCACACGAGGGAACAGTGAAGGGAACAAGGTGGACATGGCTCCTAAGCTGAGGAAAAGGGTCAAGTGAATATGTTTTGTTTTGCTTTGAATCAGCAGTAATTTGATTCAGGGGTAGGGTGGAGTGGGAGGTATCAGAGAAGCTTCCCTTCCCTCTTGGAATCCGACAGACCTGAGTTTGAGTCCTGGCTCCATCACTTACTAGCTGTTTGACTTTGGCCAATACACTTAACCTCTCTGGGCCTCAGTTTCCTCATCTGTAAAAATGGGGATAATAACAATTATATCATCCTCAAAGGTATTATGACAACAAAATAAAATAATGGATAAAGTTGTATGCTGCTCAAGGAGAGAAGACACTGGGAGCCAGAGATGGAATGTAGCATTGTGATTATGTACAGAATTAGCAATACAGGGATCTAGAAAAATTGTCTTTAAATATACACACATACATGGTAAAACTCATTTTTTGCTCTTTTGATTCTTATCATATCCAATCAACACAAAACAATGTTTTGGATATGAACCACCTCGTTTACCGACCACAGTCAAAGTACACTACACACAACCAAGGATAAAATATACTAGGAAGCATGGATAAATAGACAAATAAATAGAATGAATGATGAACTAATATGTGAGAACAAATAAAATCAACTTTGTGGATTAAAGCTGATGACCAGAAAGGTCATCAAGAAACTGAATTAAAATCCATCAGCTCATAAGACCCAGTGATAGGCAAGCTTGACTTTGGGTCGCACACTGGGTGAGGCTTACTTAGAATACACACAAGGAAGGGATCTCGGCCCAGCAATGTAGCAAGAGCGCCGGAAAAACAGAATTGGTGTCCCTCCCCGCCCTTTTTTCTTTTTTTCTTTTCTTTCTTTCTTTCTTTTTTTTTTTTTTAATGAGATAGGGTCTCACTACGTAGTCCTGGCTGGCGTGGAACTCACTATATGTAGATCAGGCTAGTCCCAAACTCACAGAGATCCGCATGCCTCAGCCCCCGAATGCTGGGATTTAAGGCGTATGCCAGTCACCGCACTCGGTTCTACTTTAGCTTTTGTTCTAATTTTATCCACGCAGAACTAGCCGCAGCCATTCCCTAGACCAAATCTCCCCAAGTTCGTGTGACAGACAAACAGCGCCCACCCTCATCCCAGAAGTACTGACAGAATCTGTACACTAAAACCCTGCCCACCACCGCCCATCTTTGCTCATTATGATAATGACTGTGAGCCTGACCAACAGGAAGGAGGCAGGGGCGGGTCTCTGACAGGATTTTGACCTTATAGGGATGCTACTCGCAAAAATGCGCGCGGCCTGCCTGAAGCCAATTAACTGAAAGAAATGCTGGGTGACAGGAAGTGAAACCAATGAATGACGGAACTTGTGTAATGGGTGGGGCTTAGACTCAAGGAAGCGGCCAATGAGTAAGATGTCGTTAAGCATAAAAGAGCGGAATATGAGTTGCTAGGGAGGCGAGTCAAAGGAACTGGGTTTCTCTGGAAGCTGGAAGAAAGAACGAGCAAGGAGACGGCCACAGCCACGTTTCCGTACTTACCGCGCCAAGAGCCGGCAGCCGGCAGCGACCCGGAAGCGCTTCCAGGCCTGAGCGGAAGAACCCACCACAATCCGGGACCCACTCAACGCATGCGTTCTCGGTCTCCTTTTGTTTCCCGCTCTAAACTACCAAACCGGAAGGGATGCTGACGTGCCTCAGTCACGTACTAGTTGGGGGAGGGTACTCTTTTGGGGCCCTACCTATTAGCCCCGCCTTGCATCTCAGGCCTTCGGAGATTTTTTTTCAGACTGGCCCAGCCCTAGCGTCCTTTTAGTCCCGCCCTGTCGTCATCAGGTGGCGTTTGCTGCTTATCGCTTGGGAATAATGGCTTCCGGAGATTCTCCTTGGTTTGAATGTTGTGTGTAGTGTGTGGCGCTGCGTTTCGGGATCATGTTTCCACCGTTCTGATATGTCAGACTGTTTCCTGTTTGAACACATTCATTCTTTTCCTTGTTTTTGATTTATTTTGTTTTTATTTTTCAGACTCCACTCAAAGCAAGTACTTTAACCCCAAGCCTGAAAATCCTTTTGTCTACACTGTTTGTTTCACTGACAATCTACCTAGCTTTCATCCTGTCCTAGGTTAATATGAAGAATGGATGAGATAGAGCTGTTCAAGAGGTAGTTAAGTACTCGGTACCTATCAAGGGTATTCATATGGCCCATAAAGTTTTTAAACTTTAATAAGCTCTGCTTATTAAAATTTTGTAGCACAGATTCATAATCCTAGCACTCAGAAACCCGAGGCAAGAGGATGTAAAGTTCAAGGTTGGATTGGGCTGTAGAGCAAGTTCAAGGCCATCCTGAACTGTATAATTAGACCCTGCCTCTCAGAAAACCAAGTATAGATTTTAAAACTAAAACTAAGGGTCAGTGGACTGATTCAGGGAATAGAGACATTTGCATCTAAGCCTAATGAGCGACCTGAGTTCATCAAACCCTGGGACATCCATGGTAGAAGGAGAGAGCTGACTCTTCCAAGGATTCTTCTGACCTTCATCACATGCACATTGTGGTAGTTGTGTGCTGCCTTCTACAATAATTAAATGTGAATCAGGAAAAAAAAGTTAGCCCAATTTGATAGTACATGCCTTTAATCCCAGCACCCAGGAAGCAGAAGTAGTGAGTTCAAGACCAGCCTGGTCTACAAAGTGTTCTAGGACAGCACCGGGTACACAGAGAAACCTTGTCTGGAAAAACCAAACCAAACCAACAAACAGAAAAACAGATTTT